TCTCCCTCCCTCTCTCCCTCCCTCTCTCCCTCTCCCTCTCCCCCTCCCTCCCTAGATTTCTGTAAAATCACGCTCATGTTTTTGTAAACCGAATAGTTATACAAAATATATTTAAATTCAAATTTGATTCTCATTACAACTCCAAATGTCTTGATTAGAAATTTGTCTCAACTCAAGCCCTATCGCTAAATCAAGCTTCTTTTCCCTTATATTTTAAACAAAGGTAAGAGTATAAAACTTTTCGTCGTCCAATAATTATAAAATTCAATAATTTTAGCTTTGATTTTAATGTGACAATTAAAACATGTCCATTCGACGCTAAAATCCTTCTCTGGACATAACATATCCATATAGATGGTTTGACAACAATTTACTTACAAATTATTTGTGCGCGATCATTTGTAGTTACGAAATTCGTGGGTCACGTGACCCGCATTTTTTGGTCACATAACGCGAGCCCAAAAATGATTGTCATTTTGCATCTCTAATTCAGAATCATTGAGAATCAACAATGCTATTTTCAAAACCAAAAAAATCAAATTCTCAGTTCTCAAAAAAGTTGAAAGTAGATTGAGAGAAAATTGAAAATCAAAAATTCTTTTTTCAAACGCAATCCGGAGAATTTTTTCAGAGTTTTCAGACAACTGGATAATTTTTTCAAATTTTTTATGAAAACACAGAATTTTCGCAAATTCTTTAATAAACTGGAGAATTTTCTCAAAAAACGGAAAATTTTGTCGAATTCTCTAGAAAACCGGAGGATTCCCCCGAATTTATTAGAAAATCGATGAATTTCACCGAATTTTCTAGATAACCGTAGAATTCTTCTCAACTTATGAGAAAATCGGCGAACCTCGTACAATTTAGTAGAAAATCGGAGAATTACCTTGAATTTTCTTGAATTTTTTAGAAAACCAGAGAATTTCCTAAAACCTTCCCAAAAACCCAATAATTTTCTCAATTTTTTTTACAAAACTGGAACATTAATTTCAAGTTTTTAGAAAATTGGAGAATTTTTTCGATTTTTTTTTTGAAAATCGAGCAATTTTCTCAAAAACCGGAGAATTTTCTGGAACGCTCTCGGAAACTTGGCTCTTCCGGACCAAGTTGAGAGTTGGACTCTGGATAATTTATGGTTTTTAAGAGAAAATTCAGGTTTAGTTGAAAGTTGGAGTGACGAGGTGTAAAATGCATTTTATGCCAATCGCCCTCTTTACTCTCAACTTTACTATCGGGATTGAAAATTTGATTTTTGAATTTTGATTCTCAGGTATCTCTGAATGTATCCTCAACTTTTTTGAGAGTTGAGAGTTAGATTTTTTATTCTCAATTGTTTTCCAATCTACTCTCAGTGAATTGAGAGTTAATTGAAAATCAAGAATTCAACTCTCAATTTTTTTGAAACCATTGAGAACTAATTGAGAATCAAAAATCCTATTTTCAGTAGTAATACCACTAGTGCTTTGAAAATAGAACCGTTTTCCACCCCGTAGGGAAGAAGACGTATATTTTAGGTCTTGCCGAGCCTTGACCCTTCGGAGATTACCTTACGTATCCTGCACACGTTGCGTGCCTAAAACCTACCATGAGAGCCATCTATGGGGGGAGAAGGGTACTTCGAACTGAGTTACAAGTGTCGGCCAGCGCGGATGACGCGTTTGGACGCCAAGAGTCCTCAGTACTTGCTCCGAATCATGAAGAATAGGAAAAGCCATTCTTCATGGGCCTAGTGACAACAAGCCCTCACTTGTGTCAAGCCTCGGCAAGATCTAAAATATACGTTTTCTTCCCTACGGGGGGGAAAACGGTTCTATTTTATGTCTGTGCTTCGACTTGATCCTTCGGAGAGATGTTTATATTCTGCTGGCACATGAAAGTGTACTGTGACTCCAGAATGTGGATGAGAGAAGAAACCCTCATCTCGGGCGTGAATATTCTAAATGGAATATAAACTATGCAACGTCAACACTGTAGCGAATACCGTTTCGGGCTGGTAGCCGAACGCTCTAGGAGAGAACTTCTAAATTTCAAACATTTATGGATTTCGACTACCTACTTGCAGCGATACCTAAAGAGGTATACCTTCTCCGAATTTCGAAAATACACATCCTGTTCAGGAGCTAACTAATCATTATAGTATAATCCTACGTCAAAGTTCATCTGATTGAAGCCTGACTAGGCTGAATTACATCAAATAAATGATTGAACAGTCGACCTGGCCTGACTTCAAGTCCCGCATCTGGTATTGGAAGGTTTCAATTTTTTTCTGAACCCCAACGCAATCAGCAGAGGTTATGCTTGCCGATCAGAACTTGACCTTCTTCAGATCCTGGAATACTTGACAAGCTGAAAATCTACTCATGGGTTAAAACCAAACTGAAGGCTGCAATCCAATGAACAAATGAGAGGCTTGGATATTCGATCAAGTACTGAGCGTTGAGCTCATTTATCATCCTAAACAGTAGCACTAAACCAAAGAACTAGAAGTTGATGACGAGAAGCCAGACTTCTGTTCTACAAGTTCTCTCGCCCAGAGGATGCACACCCAACTCGGCGCGACTACTAGAGATATTTTCGACATTGAGTTCGTTGACGAAGAACCTTTGGAATCAACTGAGTTGGTAAGAAAGCTTGGAACCAAACTCACTTTTCTTTTCCTGCTGGAGGAATCTATGAATGATTGGTTATTTGCCTGCAACCGTCGTCCTGAACCGTTTTTTGATAGACGTAATACCGAAAAATTGAATGCAAAGATGACTTTACGATGACTTTTCTGCAGGATCTTGGTGCTCCACAATGAATTGGGTGAGCAAAATCCGTGGGGAGTTGCTCTGTCAGAACGTTGCAAGCCCCCAGGCAAAAGTAGACAACCAGATGCTGTTATAGTAGTTAAGAAAGCGTCCGAATCTTATAAAAGTATGAAAAGGCGTTCTGATTTCTGACACATACTCCAGTCGTGCTGATAACTGCTTATAACGAATTACACTTGTGCCAAAATTCGTCTCCAAGTATCTGCATTACTAATGACCCTGAATCAAGCTTCTTTATAAAAATGCGAAACAGTTCACAATTTCGCTTCTTTATAAAAATGTGGAACGCTTCACAATTTCGCGTGTCATCCTTGCGTAGGGGCCATACTAATCTACTCTGAATCGTTCCAATTCTAGAGTATGTACTGCCGAAGCAATTACCAGTAATTAATATGACACTTTTCTTTAGACAAGACCACAGTAGACATCATGTAACCAGAAAACTCATGTCTGTGTGAGATATCTTTTGTCAAGAAGAAGCCTGGGACCAACAGGAAGTCAGACTTAATCGATAGTGAAGGGTTCACACAATACACATCCACGAGGACTCCTTTCCAGTAGGAAAGATTTTTCCTTTGGAGTTTCCTTCTACAATCGGTGATTCCACCATTTACGAGAAGTAACGAAGGTGGCTAGCTTCTGATGGTTGTGAAGGTTACTTCTTGGAACTGAGATCTCCAGATGATGCCAACATTATTGCTTCTGAGATTAAACAGGAAATTGAAATTCCTGAGGACCGAAAAGATCAAACCCCCGAGTGAGTTTGATGAGATTTTCCCAAGAATATCAGCGCAATTGTGAGCCAACAGAGGATGAGAGATATGCAATAGACCTCGTGCCCTGACAAGATTAATTCGCTATCCCAGTGCGTGTGCTGAGGAAGCGCAGTGATCAGGCTGGCAGGCTAAACAAGGGCTAGGCGATGTTGAAAATCGCATGATGGACAAAGGTATCTACGACCCTTGTTAGAGAATCCTGCCTTTAGAGGAAAGGCGCGCCGGGGCTTCCTATCGCTCCCTTAAATAAATCTTCGGATAATTCCATTGGCCTGAAGCCTGTGATCCATTCCGCTTACCTCATAGTGAAGAACCAACATCATTTGTTGGACCCAGATTTATGGAAAACATCGAACATGGATTCGAAAGGGCGTGCGAAATGAGCCCTCAATTCTCGATATAATTAGGTAAAAGGAGCTTGCCAAAAACACTTGGGGTCTTTCGGACTCCACAATGTTTGTTCCAGAAATTCAAGAGCAACTGCTCGTCCATTAGAACCCGTGTCTCCATTTATTTTCGCCGGTTTCCCGGGGTATTCACCACATCAATTCAACTAAGAATCGAAGAACTAAAGCCACTCTTTCCGCCGATGATAGTAAATCCGTCGATAATTTGAAACAACTGACAGAATCTCCAAAAATATGGCCAGATGATCAGAAACTGTCTCTTGATCAGAAACTGCTCTTATTTACCTTACTTCATTGTTCATTCTTCATTGAAGTTCGGTGATCGAAGCTTCGTAGAACGACCAATCTGACCTAATGACATGATGAACACAAAAACAAAGATATGCATTAGACCCTCCAACGACAAGTTCGCAGTTTGTACAGGTTGCATCGAAGCATATTTCTGAATATCTTATCACTGGCAAAATTTAATGTCGCAGAATCAAAGGCTCAGACGATACCAATTAATTGATTGAATGTTTGTATGGGGTTATTACCAATTGTGTGCTACGAATTATATGAATTGTGGATATTATTGTATTCACGATGATCCATAATTGTTGTCTCTTTGGAGAGTGTTGTATTGAAAGACTTTATTCTCATCCCAAAAGATAGAGTAGTATTGCAACCACACTGTAAGGAAATTGCTCTTTTAATGTCCGTAAAGAATCATGTAATTCCCACTAATGACTGATTCACACGAAACTCTTAAGTATGTTAAAATCGTCGGATCAGCTGATCTGGAGAATTTAATTCTTTTAGTAGTCTATACGACCGTGAAAGTTATTGAGAACTTGGAAAATTTACGTCGTTGAAATAGCAATGATTGTTTGACATGAAACACCTTAATATTTGCTGCAAAAAGAGCAATTTCATGAATAATTCAATCTCAAATTGTCTGCAAGCAGCGACAACAACAGATTAGAGGATAAGGTGGTTCTGCAGCTCGTTATCTTCAAAGCTGCATATAGTGAATATGCAGTGTGTGTGCTCGAGAAAATGTCTGCGAGCCGAAACACCTATAGGAAATAACTCATATAGGTTATACCGTCCTATACAGGAGCGGTTTAACGCACATTCCATGCCGAAATACCTCGTATTTGCTACCGATGAATCGTGATTTTGATGTGTGACTTACGGAAATATTTTCGGATTTGTCGTGCACGGGTATCTTACTCTCAATTGTTGAAGTTGCAGCAGGGCCTTGTATAATTCACCAATTAATAATTGTCAATTAACATTTGATATTTTCATTGGATACTATATTTATTGTAATTCGATCAATGTTGTATCCAATATGCCTTGCATTCGAGAAAATGGCTGCGAACAATTGTAGGTTAGATGCCGAGGTAAAATCTGCAGATCCTTGACCTGATGGTTGCGGACAACAAATAGGCCTGTAGCGGAAGTCCTTGGTGGTACCAAGTTGGTACCATACAATCAAGAAATTGAGCATGTGTAACATGCACAAATACGTCAATCAGCGCCATACATCGAAAGATGTGTCACCGGAGTAGTGTAGTAATGCCGGTTCTGGCACAACGTTTTTGGCATCGGCCTGGTCGTTGGGGTCCAGTAGGGGGGTCAGATGAAAGTGGGTGGGTGGGTGGTTGATTAATTCGCGGGGTCGCGGTTCAATTCGCGGTTTGATTCGCGGGGTCGCGGTTTAATTCGCGGTTTGATTCGCGGCTTGATTAATTAATTCGCGATTTTTTTCTTCGAAGTGACGAAGGGGTTAATTAATTCGCGGTTTGATTCGCGGTTTGATTAATGAATTCGCGGTTTTTCCCTCGGAGTGATGAAAGGGTTAATTAATTCACGGTTTAATTCGCGGTTTGATTAATTAATTCGCGATTTTTTCCCTCGAAGTGATGAAAGGGTCAATTAATTCGCGCGGTAGCGGTTTAATTCGCGGTTTAATTCGCGTGGTTGCAGTTTAATTCGCGGTTTAATTAATTAATTCGCGATTTTTTCCGTCAAAGTGATGAAAGGGTTATTTAATTCGCTGGTTAATCAATTTCATTTGCGGTTTTGCGTTACAAAGGACCTTCTCGGTGGAACTAGTCAATCCACCCCGCGAGGGGGTGAGTGAAGGGGTTAATTAATTCGCA